TGGTGCAAGTGGCAGGCGGCTGTTCTGCCATTTAGCATACAGCATACCCAGGAAATCTCACTTGGTAATCAGAAGGAGAGGAGGAAAAAGGAGCAATCAGACCCCTATTCAGGCTCCGTTTAGCGACAGCCCCTGCTGGCTGGCTGGGCTGGTCCCACCTAACGCCTGAATGCTGGGTGGGAATCAAGTCTCAGAAGCCGCACTTCTCCTTTGTGAATGTTGTAAGCCCTTGCTTCTGTGCCACAGTCTCCATACTGGGGAGAAGGATTCTGAAGAGATAGTCTTTACTGATTGCTCACCACTCCCCTGCAGCTCCCACCCCCACCCCTATCCCCAAGCCATGCAGGGTTGACATGGTTTAGGAACAACACTGCCATGTTACAATTCCAGCAGGATGTGCACTGGGGATGGGGAGGGAGATGTTTGTGTTTTTACACAAATGCCCAGAAATGGAGGATCAGCTGGGGCAATCACTAGAACCTTAACTTCAGCATTGGAAGCCTTTGGCCCTTGGTAAACGCTCAGGGGAAATCAGTCTCTTGATACACCATTCCATCCCAGTTCTGGCTTGGATAAATGGGGGAAGAGTCACAAAATCCTCAGTAAAAAGAAAAGTAATTAAAATTCACTTTCAGGAAGGCATACCAAGGCCACACAGTGGTGTTGAGCCATCAATCCAACCAACCTGCAGCTGCAGACAGCTGGAGGGATGGGAAAGGGAGGCCAGTAGGTACCACTCAACGGTGTGCTTGTAATAAGGCTCGGGCCCCTTCCACCAACACCCACCGCTGTACTTCACTGTCGGATCACACCACCTGAGAAGTTAAGAGCTAAGACTCAAGACTGCAGCTTCTGGATTGGGCACCTGCCCAAGTCAGCAGGAAGAGATAGACAATGAACATGTTTTCCCCCAACTGAATAGGACCTCATGACTCTTCACTGAATTAACCTAAAAGTGGGGACACACAAGTGGTATGTGATATAGGTAGGCCCATTTAATGAGACTTGGGAGGATAAATCAACATGTGATGCCTTCTCCGTCTTTCCCTGGCCCTACCCCACCTGCAACAGGCTGACTTCATACTCAAGGAGCTCCTCAGTAAGACTATTACTGAAATGTACACACCTTGGGAGCAAATCAATTCTTCATGACCATAAGGTTGTTAAGAAATTCAATACATGCATATTCATAACTAAGAATGGTTTAAAAATAAAGTATCAATTTCAACTCATTTCAAGGTAATCATAAACTCTCAATGACCCATGAGGGGACAGCTCTTTTGGGGGAGCTCAGGATACCTCTTCATTGCCCAGTGAGCTCCAGGATACTGGTAATAGGAGACTGGGCTAGATCAAAACCAGTGAATATGCTGTGCCATAGCTCGACTATATTCCAAAATAGATATGTTTTATTTTAAAATCATTTTGAACTACCTGCACTTCTTCTGTCCTCTAAGACCCTTACTAAAAAGGCAAGATTACACAAACAAGTCCAAAGTTGAGCACCGGAACATTTTGTTTACAAACACAACACCTGGAAGTAAAAATCTGGGACCTTTTCTCCACCATGTGCCAGAATGTTCAATGTGACCATTAATTAAGTTAGGAGCCTAGGAATGAAGTTTTTCTCAAGTAGGATGTGTGGAGTTCAGTCTGCAGCCAGAGAAAATAACATTTCACCACATGAAAGAAGATAGTGAGTCCAGGACCTCCAACCCCTAGGTCCAACTTTTCCACAGCAACCATCTCCAGTATCTTCTAGGTTCTTCCTAGAGAAGACACCCAATGGGGGATCAGAAGAGCCCAAAGCACATAGGGGAGATAGGCCCATCTGTGCATTCTTCCCAGGGTGCAGCACAGAGATATTCTGGAGCCATCAAGGCATGTAAAGCCAGACAGGCCAAGCAAACATCAATTCCGCCAGCAGGCTAGAAGCTAATGGACCACAGAGAGCGCCTCTGATAGGCCCCGACCACATCCATCTGAAGCTGCAGGAGACCTCCCAGCTCTTCCTGTTCTTGAACTGCTAAAGCATGAAGTAAAAAATGGATCTTCCAAACTGGGTGCAAGCCCTCACACAATCAAATGTCAAGGCCTATCCTACAAATCGGGACAATCAGATAGATGCCTGGCACGCAGGACCAATAGCTGGGAATAAGTATGCTGGTTTCCGGTCTATGACGTGTACAACTGAAAGGAGGCAGAGTAGGGAGTGGATGCATCCTCACAGCCAACCTCACCACATCATCTTTAGACAAATGGGTAGGCATTTGTTTAGACTATTCATCTTGTTTTAGGTACATCTGCTTAAATTTGTCCCCCTTAATATTTTACAGGTGAGCTTTTCCTGCTTGCTAGCTAAAAATTAACTACGTGTACAGAGAACGGGTATTTTCTAAAAGCCTGTAATGTATTTTTTGTGACTGATTAGACATGATGACAATTACCAGGATCAACAGACTCCAAGTTATCAACAGTCAATTCTGATACCTCTCCCAACACCCACCCTCACCTCAACCTTTGCACTGCTCTGTTCCAAGCCAGCCAACTGTTACTGTTACGACAGAGTTCATTTACTCTATTTATGTATCAGGAGAATAAATGAGCTGTGCTCTGTGTTTGCCTTCTTCAGATAGAGGTATCAATCCACAGCCACTAGATGATCTGAACCCTGCAGAAAGAACTATTATTAAAATATCCATGTTGTATTTAGCTATTAAAAAATTGACTGCCTACAATCTGCTCTAAAGAAATGCTACTGGAGACCTGAAACACACACACACACACACACACACACACACACACACACACACACACACACATCCCAAAAGAGAGAGAAAAGACAAATCATATACATATACAGTATGGAAATTCTTCCTGCAGAAAAGTGCTGATCCAGACCTGCCCAGAGGAAATGAGTTCTTTTTAAACACAAAGAATGCAATCAGGGATAATCAGCAAGTTAACAACACACTTGCAAACACCCTAGTCCCTAGAAAGGAAGAATGCCAGCTTTCAATGCAAGTTCTGAGAACAGAGCAGACCCTTTGGGTGAACAAGACGTCAGCGTCTTCAGGCAGAACTTTCTCCAAAGCCAAGAAGCTTTGGAACGGAGTCAGCTCCAGAAGGCACCTGCTTATAAGAAGTGCTTCAATAACCACATTCCCAAAGTGGCTTTGTGGGCTGGGGTGGCCTCGGGTCCTCTTCCCCATCCACTTTTCCAATGGGCTCCGTGGGGAAAAAAAGAAGCCAATAAAAAGTGGCACGCATGTCTTGAATCTCCCTCTCCCGCAGCCCAGCCACAGGAGGGAAGATGTGATGCCCAGCCCAGCAGAGGAAAGAAGCAGCAGAGACCTGGGAAGGGCTCCCACAATAGCCCCTACATGACCTACAAAGGGGTCTCCAACAAGATCCTCAAAGTGTCCTACTCTCCAGCATCCACCACCTATGAAATAAACTTTGCTTTGATTTAAAAAAAAAAAACATTTTTAATAGGAGTGGTTAAAATTCATATGAATTACAACCTGCTTTAGGGGTTGGGCTATTATGGGATGGCTTGAGGAACACCTACAGACACTATTTTTAGTTACAAATCCCAAGGCAGGGGCCTCACCAAAATGAAAAAATCCTGGAAGTCAGTGCTGGGACACTCACCTAGCCCCACCTACCTGACCTCTCTTGACCTGTTGGTTCTCAATCTTGGCTGCACAATAGAATCATCTGGGGAGCTTTAAAAATACACATTGGATCCCACCCCCTACAAAATTCTGATTGAATTAGCCCATAGGGTGGCCTGAGAGTTTTTAAACCACCCTGCAAGTGATCCTAATACGCAAAGCCAAGGTTGAGAACCACTGTTCTGCCCTATACCATCCCACCACCTTCCTGGAGAGACCAGAATGGGATGGCAAAACATTTCTAGAAGAATCCAGGGCTTGATTCAAAAAGGAGAAAATCAAACTTCTTTGCCTCCTCCTCATTCCAGCCTCTCAACATGCATACCCCTGTGGTCAGTTCTCACATTCTTTGTCACTTCAGTGCTTCCTCCTGCTCAAAGCCAGGCCTTCAATGAGTCCTGGAGCCCATGAATCTGGATTTTAGGTACTTGTGAAAGTAGAGTCTGGGCCACTTCTCTCGGATCTAATCCCATACAGTCAGAATTTGGTGAATAAGGTGAGGGCAATCTAAGTCCTCAGGCATGAGCCTTACCTTCCCTCTCCCTGGGAAGCTGTGGTTGAACTTGAGAGGCTTGTCAAGGCTATACTGAGTATTGCCAGCCCCCTTGGGGGTTTGGCTAGACAAGGCTCCTGTCAGTCTCTGTGCCTTCCTGACCATTCTCAGTACATGAAGAGGAGGAAGAGGACAGGAAAGAGGAACCTCATATGAAAAGTCCTGCTGCTAGAATGAGGAGGTGAGTAGTCCCATCCCCAGCTGCCTCCTCCACCCTCCAGGAACCTCCCCAAAGACTGTGGGGTGAGAAGCAAATGGAAGGGCTGGGATGATAGCGGGCCAAGAATGGACCTGCAATCCATCCACCCTCATTCTCCTTGGCATGGGCACTCTTTTTCCTGGGGACTAAGGAGGAAGTGATGAGGAGTGTCCCACCCATCCCAAGGGCCCAACTCTCAAGGGATCAGGAGGGACAGAGATAGCCACACTGCCCATTTCTATCAGATTCTTGCTCTGTGCTAACCCTGCTGTCTGCAGTGGAAGCAGCTGATCTGGGGCACACATCCTTCAGCCTGCTCCATCTAGCCCTTTGAGTACAGCCAAACATCTGAGTAAGAAGCCCATGGTTGAGTAGCCAGGATTCTCTCCTTGCCAAGATCTGATGGGTTTTCCATTGAGAGCAATCGAAGGATTTCCAAAGGGACCCAATTATCCAACATGTAGCTAAAGATGCCCTTCAACGATAGTGGTGGTTTCTATCCATAGTCTTGGCCTCACCCAATGCAGTGGGTGGGTCTCTAGTAAGAGAGGACTAGGGAAGAAGGTCTTACCTTCTGAGCAGAGCTTGCCACCATAGCCCGTAGTGGAACAGTCACAGGTGGGGTGGCCATCCAGGAGAAAGCAGATCCCACCATTTTCACAGGGACGCTCACCACAGGGTCCCTCAGCATCCAACTGGACACCTTGGCTCCCCAGAAGCCGAGGCTCTGAGTTGCCATATTTGAGATCCAGGATTAATCCTCTGAAGCCGGGCATGGCCTGTACTCCATCAAGGGTCAGGGCAGAAGGTCGTATGTCCGCGGGGACTCCGCCAAGGAACAAGTCACTGACCACATCCATGTAGGGCCGCTGGGGCTGCAGCTCACCCGCCTGGCCCTCACCGTCAAGCACCAGCACCGTGCGCAGGCGGTCCCGGCTCACCATGAGGAAGTGCCAGCTGCTGTCATTCACCTGCTTGTTGGACAGCACAGCGGTCTCCGCACAGTCCATGCTGAAGCGGAGCTGTACGCGGCCATCTGCCAGGGAAAGGCAGAGGAAGTCACAGACGCCGCCATCGTCCAGGTAAAGGAGCAGCCCCGTGGAGACATTGGTCTTGAACTGGAAGCTCAGGTCACTGCGCGTGCTGGCATCCCAGCGGAGGTAACGGGCCCACTGGTTGGGGAGGCCCATGAACTCGAGGCCCAGGCAGAGCCCCAGCAGTGACCCCAGCAGGACACTCACCTTCAGGGTGAAGAAAACCGAGTGCGCAATGAAGCTCATTGTGGCTGCCAGGACTGAGGCCAGAGGAGCAGACTGGCAAGGAACAGCCCTGAGGGGAACAATCCCCCTTGGCAGCGGGAAGGGAGAGAGGAAGAGGAGATGGGTGGGGGGGGGTACAGAGAGCACACAAAAGGAAGGAGGCACACGCACAAATATCCAGAGGGTGAGGAAGAAGGAAGGTGAACAAGACGGCCCCAGATGGGTGCACGAGCAAGAAATCCAATAAAGAAGCAGGGGGGGGAAGACCAAGCAGCAGAAGAGGAGGAAAGTCAAGTGGGAAAATGTGGGATTAGAGTGAGGAGCAAAGTGTGTTTCTCCAAGAAAAGATCTCAGCTATCCATGTGGATCCGGAGGCCTTGATTCAAGGAGAAGAAGGTCCACAGCAGGAGGAAGCCTTCAGCACTGCACTCCTCCCAAAGGACCCCCAAACGCCCCAGCCGGGGAGGCCGGGGAGAGGGCTGGGCTGGGGGTGCCGTGATGGAGGAGGCGTGAGCAGTGAGGTGAGCCAGGTGAAAGGCAAAAACAGGCCAAGGACCAGTCCTGAAGTTTTACCTCCTAGCAGCGGGGGGCTGCAGGGAGCAGGGCAGCCCAAAGCTGAGTGCTCAGGCAGAGCAGGGCCCAGGGCAGAGCGGGAGCAGGTTCAGACTTCATGGTGCGGACCAGAGGCAGTCCTGCCCATAACCTGCCTCTCAGGACTCCAGAAAAAGATCTGCAGGGAGAAGGGGTGCGGGCAGAAAAGAAAGAAAGATTAGGGCAGTGTCAGGAAAATACTGCATCTCATTCACAAATATTGATGGAACGCTGACTATGAGTCTGGCTATTCTAAGGATTCCCCCAGTGCCTGGTGCTTCAAACAGGAGAGAGGGCCCAGGTTCCTCCAGAGCCGTTGCAGGACCCTGAGCTCAGTGCCTAATGATGCACACAGTTTTTCCATATGCAAAAATAGTACAAAACTCCCAAAGCCGTATCAGCACATTTTTACAATATTCATATCACAGGGTCACATAGCTAAAATTTATTTTTAAGTTAAGTACTAACATTTTATACACCTGAATACACACACATAATTTTAACTTATTTACCTATTAAGAGGCATGAAATGACATTGATTTCTTTTTAGATTTTTCTTTTTCAACTTGACAATCCAATGCTTGGGTGTAGGCGGCCTAAGACAGATTCCCACTTTTAAGTTTGTGCAAGAAATATTTATAAAAATCAGCAAAAATAAATTAGAAAGTGAGTAACGAACAAAACAACTCTCATCTCTTAATAAATGTTGGTGAAAAGTTCTTATAGGAAAAAATGTGTTTTGAGACTTAAAAAAGAAAGGCTGTGTCTGAAACCTGGTTCTTTTATGTTGAGCTTTGAGCAAATTTCTTAACCTATCTGAGCTTCTATTCCCTCACTAATAAAGCAGAGGAAAATAACTTCTAAGTTTGGAGAGAGGACACCATGAGATCATGTATGGAAGATCTTGGCATGATAGCAGGTTATCAATAAACACTAGGTTCTTTACTTTCTTATTTTGGATACAAAGGGATAGGAAGAACTGTTGTTGATGTGAGTGTATGTACGTCTGTGGAGTAGGGGCAGTATATAAAACCACAAGTACTTTTTTAAAAAAACTACAAAAACTTCAGAATGAACAACAAATGAGGAATACAACAGACCTAGAGCACATTCCATATGTTTTATACTGATTGGAAGTGCACAAAAACCCAGTCAAGAGGGTGATCTAGATGTTGAAGGCAGACTGGCCCACCTAGCCAAGTGGAGACTTCTTTGTTCACATAAGAGCAATGAGTATAATTTCCAAATTGCTGCTTATTAACTGGCACATTCGGTAATTCACCACAGTCTCTATCAGACCATTACTGTCCACGATTTTTATGATGATGCCATTAGCAAAGCTGGTTATTACCCCTGCTTTGAAGAGGAAAATGTTCCTTAACCAGGAACAAACATCTATGCCCACTGAACAAACAGATCAAACCAACAAGAGGTTGACTGAATCCAACATAAGGAAAGCCTTTATTCTATACATGATTTTGTCCAAGCAGTGCTTCCTGAAGTGTGGCATGTACTACCTCCGGAAGTACAAAAGATGCTTAACTAGAATACAGACACAGCAGCATGGAAGTGTAAATCATGTGGGCTTGTCAGAGCCAACCGTTAAAACTTCAGAAATTTTTGAACTGGTTAAGGTCACTTTAGTAGCATGGAACCAACTATGCTAGGCATATTTACACCATGAAAATAGTCAAAGACCACAAATCTGAGTCTTTGAGAAAGTGAGATTTAAAGAACGCCCTGAAAGACAGTGAGGGAATTAGCCATGGGAAGAATGTCCCAGAAGTAATAGTAACAAAGGCCTTGCGACTAGAGCAAACTGGTATGTGTGAAGAACAACGAGTAGGCCGATGCTCTTAGGGTGGAGTGAATAGAAGACATGAAGCCAGAGGTGGATTATCAGGAGGCTAGGTGATAAGACATGACCCACTCTCGATGAATGTGACCATTGTGTGAGGTGAAGTATGCCAACCAAGGCAAAAGGCAACATCCCAGGGAGAGAGGAAACCCTGGTTCTGAAAAGAGGACTCCTTCTGGTTTCAACAACTGCCACGTTCACATATTTCCTTAAATCAACTTGTTGAAAGGGGCCCCTTTCAGGAAATGTGCTCAGAAGACAGCTGCTCCTCTGTCCCCTCCCCATATCATGCATTTGATTTAGGTTAGTGGGAGGGGCAAGAAAAGGGGGAGCAAGGCAGGTGTGAGCAGAAAGAATAAGCCTCTTACGGGAGGTATTCCAATCCTGGAATTATTGATGAGCCAAGAATATAAAAATCATGTGGCCATAAAGGAGCTCAGTGTGTGTAAGCCCAAGAGGCTTGGGAAAATTTTCTCAGTGACACCACCCTGGTTGCTTCACCTCTTGGGGAGGTGGGGGAAACTTCCCTCTCCTCTCCCTGTCCTGCCAGTTTAAACCAGGGAGTACACTGGCTGACAGGGAAGGCCTAGGCTCAGATGGCCAAAGCCAATGCAGGACCTGTGGGAGGAAAGGACATGTTGAAGGAGGTTTCAGTGTTATGGATGAGCAAGGACATGGGAAACCCTTGAAATAGACAGTCCCAGAAACTTCCACACTGATCTATACTATCTATTAAGTCACCTCTGAACCTCTGTAAGTCACGTATTTGTCTGTATAAATTAAATGACTTGCTCAATTCAATCTGTTTATTGAGCTCTGATTCATTCCAGACACTGCTCTATCAAAGCAGAATAAAAAAAACATTCTTGTTCTTAAAGCAATCAAAACCTAGAGGGTTCAAGTGTGCTTCAGAGATACAAAGCACAGCAACGAAGAGCTCAGGCTCTGAAAACTTGATGGAGAACTCCCTGTGGACAGGGTCTGCTTCACCATGCTGCCTGCCACAGGGCCTTGGCATGGAGCAGGAGCTCAAGAAACATATGTAGAGAGAACGGAAAGTAAAAACAGAAGCTGAAGAGCATCCCCATGCATCATCTGACTTCTATTCTATGCAGTGGCCTCCATACTACCTCACTTTACACAGTGACAGCAGTCCTGACCTCCCACACTTCTCTGGATGCCAACCTCAGATGATCCCAAAAGGCAAAGTAGCATATGCCTAGTTATCTGAAGAAACCCATGAATTAAGAACTAAGCATTCCAGAACACTCCCCTATAAGGAAGATCAAGGGAATTTTCCCAGCCTGCTTTGGGGTGGCAACTCCATCCGGCCTGTTGAGTCTTTCACGTCAGATTCATAGTCCTTCCCTCCAGCCCAGACCAGCATTGGAGATACCCATGTTCCCCTCCCTGCATCAAAGGGGATCAAAAAGGCTATCTGAGGAAAACCAAGTTTTCTTTCCCACAGGTGCCAGGAAGAATCTGATTTCAGGACTGGTAACATCAGAATTGGGTTCATCTAGACTTGACACCCTATAATCTGCCCACATTCTCTCCTAAAGACTTTCCATTGCTTTCTTGGATTGTGGACATTCCCATGGCCTCTGGGAAATTGCCAATATGGCCAAAAGCTAAGATGACCTTACATTAAGTAGCACAGGCCTCAAGCCAGTTGCCCCAGGTGTTTATTTTTCAGCCTTCTCTAGCCTTCTAGCAGGGATACACAAGGCTCAAGAAGTGGGAAAATGGGAGCAGAGAGCCCTCTCCACCCAGTCAGCCTACTTCCACTCTCTCTTGAGCCATAGGATGGCCCAGGCAGCTGTTGGTACGAGTGGTTTGCCCTAGAGCCTGCACAGAGGGTCTGGGCTGGTGTAGAAGCACAAACGCTTTTCTGTTATGTGGGAATCTAGCAGGAGAGGGAAAGTGAGTGACATTATCTAATTGCCAGCTAATTTACATAATTATCAAATGGCACACTTTTTACGTGGGGTTAACATCTTTGCAAATGTCTCACAATCCAACTGCTTGGGTTGGGGGCGGGGTGTGGCTCTCACAACTGCGACTTGTGGGCTATTTGCATGAGGCCTGGCTTGGAAGAGCTGGCTGCCATTTGCCCTTCCACCCCTTCCCTCCATTTCCTCCACTTCTTGAGACAGACGCAGGAGAAAATGGGGCCTGTGTCTAGAGCCAGGATGGGTATGTGAAGGCATGATGGTGACTGTCCTCGTGCCCAGCCCTTGCTGGCATGCCACAGTCCTCAGACTTGCTTGCCATATTTCCACTAGAAATGCTCATTGATTTCCCTCTTATTCCCTTCACCAGAACCAGAAAATCCATACAATAGCTCTCTGTTGGTTTTACTCACCCACTTTCACCACATCCCCACTCCACTCTGAAGCTAAGATGACTTTCACTACCAATCTCAGTCCTGGTCATTCAGGTGTGGTTTATCTCAATCCCAGATCCTAATTAGAACATTCCAATCTCGTGCCACAGCCATTAGTTTAGGGACCAACTTGTCCACCAAATAGAGTCAAATCAGAGTTAACCCTGGGCCTTTTTCTGGAATTAT